AGGAGTTGTCTTTTATTGGGAATGGGAAGAAAGAACTGCAAAAATACAATGTATATTAGATTCTGTATCCCTCTTTCCGATATCACTCAGCTGAAACTCCTGAGCCAAAATACAGTAATATTTGGCTTCAGCAACCCAGTTATGGGTATTGTAACCAGTGCTGCTGATAAATAACAAGGATGCAAATGATATTACATATAAAACATAATGCAAATCTTCTACTGGACTTGTGTCTATTAAAAAAGAGTTTACTTCATAGTTGTAAGGAATTTTGATCCGAATTGCACCAGACAATTTCTTGCTTCTATTGTAAACTCCCACTTAGGCAATGGCAGTTTATTCTTATCACTTTTTATAGTCTTTTTTTTTTTCTTTTTTTTTTCCCTTCTACATAAATGTGTGTGTGTTGGGGAAGTGAAAGGCAAAATAGACGAGCTTGGTGCTACAGCCTGTTCCTCAAGCAAGTTTGTGCAGAGGGGAGAGAAAAGCCAAAATCACTTGGTGCAAAATAATGGACACTTTGGGACAGAGCCCAGCCCCTGACAACTGCCCATTTCTCTTGTCATCTTGGTATTTGTGCAAATATGAAGTGTCTGGGACTCGGACTGCGCTGAACCGTTTGTTCAGTGTTGCTTGGTGAGACTGCTTATAGCAGTATCATCCATCTTGCAATCTTTGGGTTACAATGTCTCTGCAGGCTTGACAATCAGAACTCTATTTATATCACTGGGGAGGAATTTATGTGAGATGCCCTGGATGACAAAAAGGATCATTTGAACGCAGTTGTTTTATAGTTTTAGCTGTACTCTGTCCCATTCTCTTTTCCCCATAGAGCATAAAATTGGGTCATACACAGTGTCACAAATCCAAATTTAGAGCTTCCATCAATGTCACTGTAAGTTCTGTGACACAAGCTGCAAAGATGTAGCCTATTGCAAATTGCTTCATTTAAAAGAAAGAATAAAAATGGAAAAAAAAAAAAAGGTGAATTGTTCTCTATTACTTATTCTCTCTTTCTGATTGGGAGAGACGAATCTGAAAGCAGATTTCAGAGGAGAAAAATATGTAGCAACTTTCTGTCATTCCCTGTAAAAGTAGACATAAAACCAGTCTTTTTTGGATTGTAAGTTTTTGTTGGTGTTGTTGCTTCCCCTCCTCCCATCCTGTTTTTCTAATGCCCTTCGCTCTAACCTTGAATGTTTGTGTAACAGATTATTGCAGTAGAAACATAAAGGACTTTGTCTCTCTGCATGTGCTACATCCATTTCTGACTGGATTTTGCTAGTAGGAATTAAATTTGGCAAGAATGGTATGCAAACCTGAACCAGCATAAAAGAAGCTTTGCTAGTCAAATGATGGACTGTGAAAATATAATCTAGAAATGAGATATTATCTTGGCAGGAAAAAAAAGATGTTGATTCTGTCTCGAAGTTTTGTCTGATACACAGCAACTCTATAGTGTCTTTCAGTTCTATGTCTTCTAGTTCTATGTATGCTAACACTTGATCTGTGTTTATTTGGTTTTGTCTATCTTGTGCATCTTAAACAAGAAACGTGGGATCTGAATCTATAATCCAGGAAATCCCTATTACATAGATCTTTGGCAAACCTTGGATCAGTGAAAGCAAAAATATGCCATGTGCAGGAGAAGCTTCTTGATGTGCTTACCCCTCAGCATCATTCAGAATAGAATATTGTCCCACTTGGATATTTTGTTGAGTATACTTTCTATATTCTTTAACATGGAGGGATTACAAACACAGGTTCTCTGCAACTTGACCTAAAAGGCTTAGTACAGCTGGCAGCATTATGTAAACAGAAGGCTAGGCCTTTGTTTAGCCAGCTATTCTTTAACTACCGTGGAAAGTTTTTATAGAGCTTTAGAAAGGCCTTCATACGAACTTTGGGGAAAACAGAAAGACTTGTTCCAAGATTGCCAGAACCGGTCCTTTCATTGTGTTTTCGTTTGTGTGTGTACAGTTTTGTTTTTTGAAAATGTGCTGTTCTGAAAAGATATTATAAAAAGGGTCCTATGCTAACAGCTCTCCCCATGTTTTGGCAGTCTATGCAGTAGGGTGCGGTATTATTGATCAGGCAATACTCAACTTTCCCTAGCAAATAGGCTAGTGACTATAGAGTACACAGAGCATTTTCCTTGCTCGTAACAGGAGGAACTATGCAAAATGCTAAGGATAGAGCTGTGTATTTGGAAGAAAATCTGGTTTATGATGATGATTGAACTTCACTATGGATGCTGTTGTTAGCCATCTCTAATATGCACCTCAAGTGAAAGCTTTGTGGTAGTTACAGGTTATAATCAAAGCCCAAATTTCCATTTCAGGCTCATCAGAACTAGAGTTCAAAGAGATGAAATCGGACAGACCAGGAGGTTTGAGGTAGCAACAAACCTCAAATGTATTAAGCAATTATTACACGAGTTTGATGGATCTGACTGGATTACAAGGAAGATCTAAAATGAGTGCAATTGTGTCTGAGGCAGCATGTTTATAAGTCCGAAGAATGTTGCAGCAATGAGACATGCTCAGAAGCAGCAATTCTTTTGATGCCCCTACATTTGTGCATCTGTACAAAGGTTCCTTCAAAAATTTATCGCTATAGGAAGGTTTTCACCTCCATACTTAGGGCAGATGTGACTTGCCAGATTGCTCAGGTCGGGTGCTTCACAGAGGGTATTTCCAGGAATTGAACACATTTTCTGAAAAATACATGAGACAAAAGTATTTCTTCTCGTATTCATGTTTGAGAGAGAGCCTTTCTTTTTAGCCTTGAGATGCTAAAACCAATTTTGTTCTTTTCATGGCATAAATTATAATCCTGTGGAAAAACTGAACTGAAACTAGTGAACTTCTCCATTTATTATTTGTGAATTTCTAGCCTTTATGGATAAAACTTTGAGAGTGAGGAAGACAGGGAAGTAATGACTTTATTGGGTGATATGAGGTTCCTGGAGCTTCCCACCCTGGCAGGGGCAGGGACAGGAGGAGAAGCATATATGCATTTTTTTTCCTAGTTTTGCAGCATTGGTTCTACTGGAGAAAGTCATTCAGAAGATGCTTTAGCATACAGCACCTAACGGAAATCTCTTTGGAGCCATGTAAATCAACACCATTCTGTCTAGCGCTATATCAAAAATCAGCCAGGGATTATATAAGAAGTACCAGGAGAGTTTACTGAAAATAACATCTTGTACTAATGAGATATTATAAAGATATTTGATGGTGTGTACCCTGTCTCACTGGCATGCTGTTAATAATGTTACACTCATAACCTCCTTGTGCTTCCCTTCAAAGCAAAAAAAAATTAAGCAACCTGTGCATCACCTGCAGTGCAGCCAACTGGAGTGGATTTCCAATTAATAACCTTCAGTAAAGTAATATCCAATTAGTACTGAATATTTATAAGGCTGTTTTTAACACCCGTTGCTGGCACTAGTGCTTAGATTACAGGAAAGTTTTTCCTGCTTTCCATCTTAAGTAGAGCTCAGCGTTTGGATCCTGTGAGGCTTTTATCCAGGTTAACAACGGGGGAAAGAGTGGCATAGGTATATATTATGTGTCATAAAATGCTGGTAGTTTGCAACTGTTTTTTTGAATACAGTTTACTATGATTTTCTGTGTAGTTTATCTGGTGTACATACATCTTTTTCTCTGTGCAAAAGCCTTCTGATAACAGTTAGTGATGAAAGAGAAAAACTGACCTGTGACTCCACAGAAGTCTTAAAAGAAGGTTTAAATTTTTGAGAAAGCCTGGTGAAGGTGGCGGGGCATGGAGGTATATATCATTGGTGTAGCTATGAGAAATAACCCTTAAAACCTCTGGTCAGCTTTCAGAAGTCCACAAGATTAATAAACTGCATTCTGTAGAAACTTGAGCTTTCTGTTTTCCTTGATTCTTCTTCTGCTGCCCTCTAATGAAAAACAAAAAAATGCTTTGAGGCAAGGTCAAACTATTAATGTCTTATTATTGTAATAACTGGTTTACTGACACTTTAAAATGTCAAGGGAAAAGCAAAAGTCTGTTGGACTGTATGATAACATTGTAATATTGAAGAAAAATCCTCTCCTTAGCCATATCTGTATTTTTAAAACACCTCAAAGACATATTGCACTATCATCAACATCTTCTCGAGTGCATTTATTTCAGTACTCCCACATACAAGGTAGAGAGAGATCTTATTGCAAAACAGTTGCAAAAATAAAACTATTGAATTCAGGTTGTCAGATCATTTAAGAAGGAAAATGATCATTTAATGTTCTTTACATTAAAGTCCTTTAATAGTAAGGTAATGTTGTAGGGATGGATGACTTCCCTCCCTCCCCCCGAATACTGAAAATTTTAGCCGTTCTCCCTCCAATATCCAGCACTTTGTGCTATGAGAGCTTATTATGTTTTTATTCTCTGCTGTGTATTCAAGCCAAAACATTAGAGTACAAGCTGTCACTTATAACATGCATCTTGTTTTCTTGCTTCTCGGTGCTGGCAAGTTGCAGTCACAAAATAAAACCGAGGCTTTTTGAAAAACAAAACATACCACCTATAAAATAAAGCTGTAGTATCCAAAGTACTCTTTTTGAAGGATGACAACTCAAAATATAAGGAGACTTCTTCATGCTGCATCTGACTCCTTGTTTTCCTGGCTTCGGACCCAGTTTAATATCATGGCAGGGAGAGACTATTTCTTTTAAAGGTAAGAGTGCTGAGGGCTTAAGAACAAAATGATGTAGTTTTCTATATGGCGGACGATAATGCAAAACCCCTTAAATCCTCTTGAATATTCTGACCTCTCTGACATCAGGAATATTTTAAAATAGACTAACAGAGCTTCTTTTTCTAGGAAGAAAAAAGGCTTTAATCAGGCTCTAAATTCTTTATTGAGATTTGAAAATAATTGAGGAAAGGGGCAAGACTCTTGCCTCCCTCCGCTTCCTAAAGCTCTAGGCTGCAGCTCGCAAGTCTTCCTGCTCTTCAGCGCACTTTGCTGTGGGAATACAGGGAGGCAGAACTTCCTCCCCCTGCAGGCACCAGGCACCTCTTTGTTCTTTAATCTCTGACTGAAGCACAGCTGTGAATCTGACAGGCTGAGGCAGCCCTCTCTTATCTAGTTATAACCTCATATCTGGTTATTTGCAGGATTTGAAGGTTTTCTTTCCTTTTTTTAACCATGAGCGTACTTTGTTTTTAAGGTGCTGCTTGGCAAATAACTGGAAAAAAGCTAGACCAGGGCAGCAGAAACACAACTCTCCATGGCATGAGCTGTGGCATATAGCATACTGTGGCAATATATACAACCAATACTCCAGATGGGCTGCTTGCTTCATAAGAAACCTGGACTTGAGTAATATGTGCCTTATTTTTGTTCTTTTCGCAAGAACTTGAAAGAGTATTTCTACTTCTTAATAAGCTATGGGATAATAGTTTAGTTCCTCTTCCCACATCTGCCTTAGCAACAATCAGAAAGTTGTTATTCTCTATCTGAACTCTAAAAATAGTTATTTTTTATAAGCTCAGAACACAAATTTTCTTGGCAAAACTCAGTTTCATGAAAAGTTACCTGTCAAGTTCATGTTTAAAGCAAAGTATCCTTTATTAGAAGATTCTTGTAGGTGGTGCTTAATCAATGATAATGCAGGGGAGATGCAGACTAACTTTTTAAAAAAGATACTGCAGCCTGCAGTATCCTGCAAAGAATATTACATTTCTAGAAGCACGGGCTACTGAAGATAATATATTTTATCGTTAGAGACTTTACAGCTGTCAGTTCCTGCAGAACCACATTAATCCTTTGCTATTCTTTTTTTCCTTGCTGTCTTTACAAACTAGTGACCTAACCTCTTCATTCCTGAAACACTGACTGAAACCTGAGACTGGAGTACAAGCAGCTGTTTTCTTTATTGCGGAACAGTAGTAAGGCTTTAGTATAACTTAACTGGAAAAAAAAAATCCAAATGTCTTTTACTAAAAGAGCAAAGAAACTTTATCAACTGTCTTGCCTATCCACCAAGAAGGTGGCTTCTTCAGGGTTCTGGAAGAGATTTTTGACAGAGGTGAGTGAAACCTCACTTGGCCAGACTTAGTGGACAAGTGACCACTCACAAATTAGAGGAATGCCTGCCTCTCCATTTAGAGGATACTCGTGTCAAAGACTAGCTTTCAAAAATCAAAGTCTTGATTTTACAGGGGAGAAAGAATTAACTGAAGGGTTTTATAAACTTCCACCCTCTTCTCCACTTGGCAAAGGAAACACCTATATGCTGCTGAGCTAGGAAATGTAGTGCCTTTTTTTCTTCCCACAAAAACAATTTATACTTAAGTATTCCATAAATTCTGAGATAAGGTTTCAAGAGAATTACCATCTCAAAAAGATTACATTAAGGCAGTATTCTTTATGTTCAATAAATTGTCTAGCTTGAGATCTATAGGCTGAGCTAGTATATTTCCCTATGGAGTCAGGGGAAACAGTATGAAACTTTCAAGACTTGTCATTTTTATTTTTCATGTATTTAGCTTTATTGCACAATACAAGAGAGTCTGACAGGCACTAGTCCAAAAATTGGTATAACTGATGCTACAGTGCTGCATTCTGCTGCATGCATTGGTGTTTATACTACAGAATAAAACCAGATCAAGTTTTCAAAGGAGATAAGGCCTTTCTCCTAAAGGTCACTAAAGGTACAAATATTTAATATATATTGCAGTATTTGGAAAAGTTCCATTGCCATGTGCTTATGTAAAATGAGGTGCATATGACAGGAACACATTCTTGGTGTCTAGTAGTAATTAAATAATTTGCTTTACTATTTGGAAACTGATCGCATCTCCCCACTGAGGGTCATGGATACTGCCCCAAAAGTTTTTCTCCTGCCCTAGCTCTGGCATTGACTGGTGGAAGGGAAGGAGAGGAGAGAAAAAAAAGTAAACTTTCTCCAACGGTTTATACAACTCCTGCACAAAAAGCAAGCCTACAATCATAGGCTAGAATGATGGCTTTAAGTATTTGCTTATGTGATTTCCAAAATATATAGGGCAACTCATTTAAAAATACTTTCTCAAAGGCATTTAATTTAAATAACACACTCTGTATGATCACAGGGTTAAAAAGCAAGTGGAGAGAGACAGCTGCAGGAGGTCCTTCAGGGAAATGCCGTTAGTCCCATTCGTTTGGGCTCGATTACTTTTGGTTTCTTGGTTGTGAGGCCATGTACAGAGCTACCAGGCAGTAGATAGTCCCGCCTATTGTTAGAGCCATCGTGGTCCGATAAAGCAGCTTGTCCGGAACTCCCCGCTTCAGGTGGACTGGCAGCCCGTCTGCTTTCTGTGGGAAGAGTTTGGAAAGAAAAGAGTTATAAAGAGACCACCGGGAAGAAGCTACCTTAGTTAACACTAGGAGAATTTTAAGAGGGAAAACTGCTGAAAAATGGGTTATGTGCAGTCTAATGTATCAAGTGTTTTTCATTTAGCAAGACAAATGCAAAGGCAAGTTAATTTTATTAGCAAAAGCTGTTAAGTGCAGGCACAAAGAATACCTCTTCAAATATATATTTTTTAAATAGGACCTGGACTGAAAAAGTGTCATCAACAAAAGAATGTGAAGAGAGATGCATAAAAGGTTATTCACCAATTCAGACTGACACATTCCAAGTGCAAGTGGCATGTAAGAGAGAAAAGCGTACATTACACAAAGCACATTCTTGAGCTCTATTTCTTGAGAGGAAAAAACAAAAGCAAAACTAGCTTTGAGAAGTCCTGATACACTTATAAACTGCACAGATAGCAGACCAGATGACCTTACTGTACTCTTCTTCTACTACATCAATTACATTTCAGCTACAATATACAAAGTAGTAATAATCCCTGTTTTGCCCCTCCAGATGTTCAAGTCACATGCATGGATTCTCAGATAAAAATTACATCCAAAATCGAACAGTACAAGAGGTATCTTTTAAGGCCCTCCTCTCCACCCCCTCTAACTCCCCCCCCTCCCCCCCCAAAAAAAATCCATAACCTACCACACTAGACTTTTCACTTTCTGTATTTATCCCAGTATAAGGTCACTGGGGACCAATCCTGGCTAGACTGCAAAAAACTCTTTCTTAAGCAGTCTTTAAAAAGGTATTGTAGAATGACAAATTAGTTAGCTACTTCAAAATAGAGTAAAACATGATCTACTCTCTCCACTTTTCTTTAAGTTACTCTTAAAGTTGTTACCTGAAAAAGTTTCTGTAGGTCTGGCACCTTGTTTTTACCCAAGAAAGAATCATCTGCTGGTAAATCTGAAGCAAGTTTAGTTGTTGTCCCAAAAACCAAAGGTGGGGATTCAGTAGATACTATTGGTTTGAGTCCCTGCATAAATAAAGATTAAAGTATATAACAATTGCAAAATTACCAATTGTCACCTTAGGCAGACATGTTGCCAGTCATAACAAGGATACGTTACAAAGAATATTCCTCTAGCATGAAGACCTGTGGTTTAATTAAAAAAAAAAAGAAAAAAGAAAGAAAGAAAAAAAGAAAAAAGACCTAAGGATGTATTACAGGCCCACTTATTTTTCTCAGCTACAATTTTGAATCGGGAAATTTTATGAGGGGAAAAAACATAGCTTAGAAGCTTCCTTTTTGATTTCTTCACAACATAAGTTTCTAGTCATACTTGTAAAAATTTCTTTTCCCTGTAAGTTTTCTTGTGCTGGTACTTTGTCAAAGCTGCTGCCTATTTTTACACATGGTAGTACTTGCACTGCTAGGAGCAGGACGTTCCTGCTGCTTAGGTCAAATAGTCAAGAGACTAAACCCTTCTCCTACATAGTGAAAGGACTGGTCCATGCCAGTGGAGTTAGGACCTGCGTGTTGAGGAAAAGAATGGCTAGGACCATATGTTGTTTCATAGCAAAGTAGTATATGGACCTCAAGGACACTGCAATAAGCCTGAAGGGATGACTACTGTGTGCAAGTACTACTACACTCTGTAACTCATATGCTATTGTAACTGTCCACCTCTATTCCCTTTGAGCAGCATTTAATTTTCATAGAGTTCAGAAGTTTGTTCTCTACTTTTGCCAAAATTAATCCAATTTTATGGTTATGGTTTTAAATGAACAAAGTTACAACTTCCCTCAGCAGCCATGAGGTGGCCTCCTTGCATTTATTATTATAGCTACAATTAACTGCCACACCTTAGCACAGGATAGTGGCATTTTTGAGTTAGGGCTCTTTAAACACTTTTTTTCTGCCTTGCCATAGAAATGAAAAGCAGCATATAAGTCAGTTAACGCACCGTTCTTTTCATTCAAACAGAAGCAGCAAGTGCTCTCCATGGATTAAATTAGAGCTGCAATAAAACCCCAGCTTCCTCTCAAAGGACTAGTTAATGTATTTTGTACTTTAGGAGTATGGTACTCACAGTGGGACCCAGTCTAGCAGTCTTTAGTTCCTCTCATGTCTGCCATAGTTCAGACATACTTCCTCCACACCTCTGTAGATTCCTCATGACAATAGCTATCTTTAATAGAAATGTTAGGTTTTTTCCTGCACCCCACAACAGCCTAGGGATTGATCACCAGGACGCTCCTGACGAAACCGGTTCAATTTTATAGTGCCTAAATGAATCTCTCTAATCTCTTGTAACCTTATTGGTTTGTTTTGCAAGAAAGTGATCAAAACTGCCTTCTGTGACACAGTGAATCCAAGCATTCCTGAGCCAGACTAACTAGTGCTATTCTACTGGACAGGCTTGGACAGAGACAAGCACCAAGTTATTTAAAACAAGGCAGGTCTAGCCACAAATACTGAGAACAAGCCCTCCACAAAACTACTGCTAAGGCAGGAGTAGTTTGGGCCAATAGATGCAAGGATGGCCGCTGGTTCAGAAATGCTCACAGAGTGCAATTTTGGACTTTGGAGCTGATGAGAGCTTTAAAGTACTTTAACAGATTGTGCTTTAAAAGGCTAGTGGTTATAACAGAAACAACTAGAGAACAGATACTTGCATAGGGAGTGTGCTTGTGACTTCACCTCCTCCCTCAACCTCTTTTCTGCCCTCTTGATTGTCATTATAAATTGCCTTCCAAAACACTGATTTAGTTGAGAATATCCCCCAGTGTCACTGATATTGTCTGACTGGTTTCAGAAAAAAAAAAAAATAAATAAAATAAAAGCTGGAGATGAAAGTTCAGTTTTCTAATGCAGATACTTCTTTAATCCAGACCTCTCATCCCAACATAAAATAACCACATGCTTGCTTCAGCTGAATATATGAGTGTGTGGATGGAGAGAAAGTGGAAAAGGCCTGTATCTACCAACTTAACCAATCTAAATTACTGTAGCTATATAGACATCCTCAGTATCACAAATAGGAAGTTCAGCACATCATTTTGGGTATGTGACTAAGAATACTCATTGTCATTTAACTGCTACTTGGTGTTGAGCTCCACAATAACTGAAGGCTTATTTATTAGCATCTCTGCACTCAGCTTCTTCTGTTCTATGACTTCGATTTATGCTACATAACTATGTTTCACACTGATAATTGATAAAAAAGGTGTTTATTCTTTTTTAGGAAAAGATTAGAGTCCCAATTCTCGAGCAAAGCACAGCAGATCTAATCACGCAGAACAGTCAATACCGCCAGATTTCATCAGCATGCCACAGCAATGACCTTCTCAAATGCTGAAATGAAAGATCAGGGTATGGAGCCAATCCAAGAAAACAAACAAGCAAAACACTCAAATGTCACTAATGTTTTATCTGACTTTCTGCTAACCTCTCTATAGGACCTTGCACAGTTCAGCTGGAATGTCTAAGGACACAGTCCATGCACTGGTTGAGTAGCATGTTGAAAGTTAGAATACATATACATCTTGCTAGCACACGCTCCCAAGCTACATTGGTATTTTTCTGACAGCATAAAATCATTAAAGATTTGGAGTGTAATTTAACAGATATAGCACCATGCTTTAGCTTGCAAATGTTAGGGAATTGTTCCAACTGAATCAGATTAAGAAAGCAAATCAAGGACTGAAAAGGAAGTGAAGTTGAAATATTATTTAAGAAGATACACTGATGAAAGCTTCATGGCCATAGTGAACCTAACTGCTTATCACCTAAACAGCGGCTCCTTCACAGCAGGGCACAAACCACTGCATGAAGCTAAATACGTCATCAGTAACATCGTGCTTTCACATGGGACTGCTTAGAGGCTTTGCTTGCGCTGGAATGACAAATGTAAGTAAAGATGGTTTTGTGTATTTAAAGTATAATCTACATTAGGAAAGGTTAATCATGATAGTTTCCCAATAAATCTAAGCAATTCACACAAACTAAAAATTCTCATCTATGATTGGTGGTGGTTTTTTTGTTTTTTTAAACTAGCTACAAGGTGAAATACTTTGTATCAAGTGAAGTTACCTTAGCATGACTACACTTCTCTTAGGACAGTGGTCAGCATTGAAGAATTAGGGAAAAAGGCTCCATAGCTTGTCAGATGGTACTTGAAACGGGTCCCACTGTTTGTGCTTTAAACATAAACTAAACATTTGAGCGAACAGGTTTTCATTGTATCTGTAAGTGCAATGGCATTCGTTACCTAAAAGTGAGGAGTGATTTTAATCTATTTGTGTCCATACCTGAGAAAGTTCCCATTTATTCAAACAGGCTAGATTGTTCAAATTACTTTACATAACTTTGTAAGATGCAAAATTAAGCCTTTTAAGAATGTTAAGATAAAAAAAAGTTTCAAACTAAGAAATTTTGTTAGTCTGCGTTGTTAGCAATGTTACTGTCAGCAAAAATTTTTGAAATGCACTTTCACTGATATTTTGCAAGTCCACAATAAGTTTGCATTATCAATCTGCATCAGAACAAAACTATGTTGGAATGAGTCGGAATGCAACATTATGTTAACAGAGTGAAATATTATATACTTGACCAAGTGCAATTTAAATTGTGAAAAAAAAACTTCATCTTTTCAGAAACATTAAAACACAATGGCATTAAAAAAAAGAACTGTTTTAAACACTTGGCTATGACTGTTTATTGAATGCAGCAAGGAAATCAATAACAAAAAACTTCACTTAGAAGTTTTGAACTTAACATTTATCTACTGACATGATTGCTTATAATCCCCATTTATCACAAGCTATTCCATCAAACTGATGCTTCTGAACGAGTCACCTGGCAGTAGATTCAAACTTAACAAACATACACAACTACCAAAAAGCTAAGATTGCTAATCTTGCAAAAAAAATGTATTGAAGACATTTTTAATGCAGTTATCTGCTGCACAGCATATTTGATTCCCACAGTTAAAAAGTAAAACATGGGAATGCTGAGCCAGAAAAAAAAAAGAAAAAAGCTGTTTTTCATCACTATGCTCAAAAACGAGTGAGGGAGTGTTCTGGAGTTGCTCTGATGCTTTGAATAACTCAAGAACTCAAGAACCTTAACAGAACAATCTTGATTGCAAAAGGTGATTGGAATTTCCAGACAAAGCTTCCATAGACAAGGAGATGCAAGAAGGCAGGATTAGGCTAAGAAAAGCTGAAATAGATGCAGAGCTATCTGCATAAAGCTATTTTTATATCATAACAATATATACTAGTCTAAAAAAAAAAGCATGTAGTAGCATGAGTAGCTCCAGTCAGCTTTTATTAATGATCTTATCAGAAGAAAAAGTCATCCTTTGATTTCATCTATGTACGCATATTTTTTTAATCTGAAATCTGAAATCATATCAGAAATATTTGCCTTCTATAGGTAGTTCTTTGGGACCTTGACTTTTTCCCCCCATCCTTAACCCAGGGAACAGAATGCTTTATTTTATTATCACTGTTATAATTTTTATGATTTTAAGAAACTTAAACCATGCTGCATCTGTCTCTTGACAGGCTCACATTATAAATCTGCTTTGATGACTAAGAAATCTATGTCGATAAGAAAAAAAAAAAGTGATTTTTCTCTCACCAATGTGCACTTCTTTTAATCCTTTAAAGTGACCTGCACTGACTAAAGGACTTGGCAGTAAGTGCAGCACTGCTCCAGTTCCTCACAGCTGCTGTTTTACAACAGATGCAGTTGGGGCTCAGAGGCAACACCAAACTAATCAATGACAGCATGTTATTTCCTGGCTCTAACACCCCACCCGCCCCAAAACTGCCCCATGATCTGCAGGGCAGAGCTCAGCACCTCATCTTGCCCAAGGTCACAGGACAGGCCCTAAACAGCCCCACTGCAGCCCAGTCCCTGGGTTATGGACTCCTTCCGAGGCCGGGGACACCAAGACTGGCTATATATGGAGCACACAGCTTGGAAATGGGATGAGGCAAAGAGAAAAACAAAGAAAGAAAAATATCCTTTGATTTCCTCTATGATTTCATCTACACCAAACCCTGCAGGTCCTGCAGGGGAGTCCTGCGAGAGGCAGCAGGGCAGCAGCCCAGCGCACTCCCGGCCTGACCCCCGCGGCCCTGCCCGCCCCCCACAACAGCGAGGCTCGGGACCGAGCCGTGCCCGCCCCGCCGCCCCGTCCCCGTCCCCATCGCGGCGGGCAGAGCTGCTCTCGGCGCCTCCCGCTCTCCCTGGGGGCCAGTGGCGCCGCGCATGCAGGAGGACAGCGAAGGTCACCGCGGTCGCGGCGCCCCGGGCAGCTCCGGCGGCGCCCCCGTTACCTGGGGGTTGTAGGCGGCGGACGCCGCGGCCCCGACCAGCCTCTGCGTGAAGCCGTTGAACTTGTAGTACATGATGGTGGCGGCGGCCGCACGCGCGCACCTAACGGCCACCGGCGCCGGCTGCGACGCCCTCGCGCAAGGACCCCAGCCGGCACCCTGCACTGGGAGGACCCGAAGACTCCACCGCGAATGCCTGAAAGCAAACTCGAGAAGGCGGCAAAGGGAGCAGGGCAAAGAGGAAAAGCTGTGAAACAAGGCGATGCTTTTCTAAACACACTTAGGGAAGGGCACTTTGGGGCAGGTGCTGTTCCTAAAGCAACGCTGACGGACATTTCTAATCGGGCACCATGCAGCACGCCTATCGGGCTAAGACGTAATGCGCCTGCGCACCACTGCTCTGCAGCCGCGGAGGGACGGGGGCAGGGGGTGGGTGATGACGAGCGGGATGATCAACCAATCAACGCACACATAAGGTGACGCTCCGCCTCCTGCCAGTGGTGAGGGCGGTGGCGGCGATTAGGGGCGGGGCTTGACGGCCGTTAGGGGCGGGGCTCGGCGGTCGTTAGGGGCGGGGCTTGGCGGCCGTTGCGTATTTGAGCGGGGGTGGGTGACCATGAGGATCCCTTCAGGATCCCGTTGAGCTGAAGGGGGCGTTGTGACCTCGGAGTACCGGAGCCCGCGAAGGTGGTTCGGGGCGGGCAGCTGCTGTGCAGGCGGCGAGTGTCGCTGTTTGTGCGAGCTCCTGCGAACCTCTCTCCTAGCGCCCCGCTGCTCGCTCTTGAGTCTGTCTTGTTCGAATAGGGCTACGTGATTCCGTGTCCTCCTTCTGGACTTGCTTCCTGTGCTCCGAGGTGGTTGTAGTCTCCTCTTGTGGGTGCCCTCTGTTTTGGCACCTAGGCTGTTATTGCCTTGCCATAACTATTGTGGTAGTTATGGACATCTGGCATAGTTGTTTTTTTGCTGAGCGCTTTAATTCACTCCAACAACTCATCTAATACATTGGAAATCCATCATGTTACTTGCTTTGAGCCTTCCATAATAGATGCTTTCACCCCCTGCCTTGGTTTGAATATAATGTTCCCAAAAATTCTAGGAGCCCTAAGACTGAAGGCATAATGCAGAGCCTTTTATCAACATTTAGGGCATTCAAGGTCCCAAGAGGCCTTGAAGCTACGGATATTTTGGATATTTTGTGGTAATCTGGCTTCTGCAAGTACTTGGGGCTGTAGATTGCTGCCAATAAATATCTCCTTGTTAGCACTCCAAAACATACTGCTGTTATCTGAGTCTGATGGTGCAAAGTCTTAACAGGAGGTCACACTGAGAGTTGCATACTGTTGGTTAAGATCAAATGTACTGAGACCTTTCTAAAAAGGGTGATTTACTGATAATGTTTTGTCAGTAACGTCCTGGACCTGAGTTAGAATATCCTCCGTTAGGAGTCCCATGTGCAGTTTGGCAGATGTGCATGCTATAAAAATTGCTGTGGTCATGCACTGAGGGAAAACTTACATAGTTTGCTAATAAACTGGGATTATATATCTTTTTATCTGTAGAAGATGTTTTACAAAGAACATCCACAATTCCTATGCTTGACCCTGTGGCACCTTCTACTTAGCTTTGTAGAATTTGAGCCTAGTGGCAAATAAATGGAGTCTTTCTGGGTTTATTCCCTTGTGAACAGACATATCCTATGCTAATAACTGTTCAGTAACAAGGAATACACCTGTGAACTCTGTACTTCCCTTTACTTATAAGAACAGGAATATGAACCAGAAGTAAATATAGGTCATTGGTGCAATTGTTGTTATTTGTGCTTGTTGTGCTGCAAGTTAGGGAAATTTTTCTTTGTGGCTGCAGTTCTACAAACCCTGTCTCTGTTTTCCTGTCAACAAAAGAGCCAGGTTGTGGTGTTCCATACATGATGCCTGAAAATGATGTTTCTAACTCTGCATTAAAAATGCTAACCTGAGGTGGTAGGTGATCTGCACAGTAAGTAGGAAATTTATGAGAATATTTTTTTAAGTGTTAGCAATTACTGAAAGCTCCGAGGATTTCACAAGACTAGGAAGTACTAAATGAACTCGAATATGTGTTGCATAATTTATGGTAGAAAGGAGGCTGCCTCTCAGGACTGTAGTTATCTCAAATAAAACCAAATACTTGTTAGATTGCAGATATGCCTGTGATAGAGCAGGAAGACCCTATCTTTAGATAGGGAAATACATATTTTAGAAAGGAACGCTGTGTATCTAGGACATATTTGAAGAGTTTCGGTGCTTTTGAAAGTCTACTGAAATCCTTGGGAACTGACTTATATTATAAATACTCTGGAATCTTCCTTGGCCATAGTCTGTGTGCAGACGCACCATAGCTCCCTCCACCCAGCTACTTCAGCATTTACTCTGTGAAAGAGTTGTGCTTAGCAAGCTTGTAGTAAGGTCATCTTATGCCTGATTCTTCTAAAATTTGTAAAATGTGTTAATCTTGGAACAGTCCCACAGGAGCACAGTCTTCTGCAGGTCAGATATATGAAGATAATGCCATTGTGTTAACTAGTTCGTCTTCTGTGGGAAGAAGTTCTTGAAATGTCGCAAATATTGACTAAAAGCCAGAGAAACGAAAGCTTACTGTCCAGAAGCACTGAGGAGGCTGTGGAAAAACATGTACCAAGTTATGCCCCTTTTCACTTGATTAGTGTAAATAGTTATGTTTAAAAGTAAACTGGGACGCTTTGCTGATGCTTCATGTTGAAATGAAATCTGATGGCTTGTGTCTCTGCTGTTTTAGCTCAGAAAATTAAAAGACCGGGAAATCTTCTAGTTCTTGTGTAGTTTCCAAAAGAGATGGATAAGAGGATGATGTGATTAAAAATAGAATAATATGAATGCTCTTGTTCTTATAACACAAAAGCATGGGGACAGTTAGGAAAAGGAAAGTAAAAAATCAGAATTAGGTAAAGCCTTTCCTTTAAAGGAAGAAATTTTCTTTGGCTTTGTACTCTTACACTGTCTTTTGCTTTAAGCTCTAGACTTTTGCCAAAGACTACTTTGCTTATCAAACTTTCTGATATATTGGGTAATTAGACTGTAAAACTTACTGACATAGGAAGCCACTGAGGCGAAATGAGGCCAGTCATTCTGGCAAGCTTCAAAGAAGGATCGGCCATCTTTGTGGACCATAAAACTGTGTTCAGTTAATGTAAACAAAATGTCCTGGAAGGAAAAGACTTTAAGCTGAGCTATGACTTTTTAGACATTAGGTCAAATTGGGGCCAATATCATGAGGATAGAGTATTTTACCCTTATCATGTCTGTCCAACAGGCCTTTTATACCTTCATCTGCAGAGTGGTATTGGCAGCAGCTGGAGGCACTACTGCCCTAAGACCCACACTCTAGGCTACTGTATTTTTTTTTCCTGTATTTTAAAGGCAACTGATTTAGTACACACACATTTGTGTTGATCATGACTTGTTTCTAAAATAGCATTAAGATTATGCTTCAAGATGAATAGGTTTATGGGACTGAATGAAAGAGGCAAAGTACCTTGAGGTTATTCTGTGGGGTTTTATTTCCTTCAATTTTTGTGTATTTGTTTTCTTTCTGAGGATAAAACAAAGCAGCAAGAGCTTATTCCATTGCTTAATGAATGAAACCTTCATATGCTGATCATGATTTCAGCACAGATGTCTGTAACTCAAACTCTGAGAATCTGCCCATGCAGCTCTGATCTTGAATTGCTGAGAACAACTGTGTGGGTGGATTTAGAACATGAAATTGCTGTGTGCACTCATGTTTGTTTATTCAGAACTCATTTTTAATAGGGATAGATTGGATTTGCTTAATGTTTGTTTCATGTGTCTGTATATAAACATACGTATATAATATATACAAAACCCCAAACTAGATGATCACCAAACACAAGCTCTTTTAATGTATGAGACTGACATTGTAAACATGTTGCATTTGAAACATTTTCACAAGCAGAAGAAAAATCAAGTCTGTGTGCAGAGTAACCATCCAAGGTAGTGGTTACTTCTGAAATGTGTACCTGAATTTCTTACTGCTTCTTAACAGGCCTAGAGATTCTGAAATGTTTTATTTAATAATTACCTAAAGGCTTTGTGTCATCTACCTTTAAGAAAATAATTGAAATGGCCAAATCGCCAGATCTTTGTTTTATGACTTAAAACCATTATCATTTTTGAAAAGTTGTAATAGAACATTAGATACTTTGCACCTTGACTTTGATAGGGATGACCATGGGTTGAAGTTCGTGCTGTAACATCCTTTGTCACCTCGCATGGGAAAGGCAGATTGTGACATGACTGTACCTTACTCTTCTGGAAGTTTTCCTTTAAACATTATGCAGGTAGTGGAATAGGTTCCCAAATGGAGTGAGCAGTATCTTTGGACAGCCAAAGGTAAAATATCTGCTAGGTTTTATATTTTTACACTGCTGCCAAACCCTTCCTTCATCTTTTCCATCTGTCTCCCTAGGCTGTGTTTACCTTCCCAACATTCAACAGTCCCTAGCAAAAGTTTATTTTTTCTCAGACTTATTGTAGATACTGGTCAATGATGCACCGTCCTCATATTTCATTTCTTTCCAACCTTTTTGCATGTAAATCCACAGATTATATTCAGAGACAGCCAAATCCTTAATACTTAGCAAACTTCCCCAAATAAAAAGAGTTCTGTAGACTCCCCCCCAAAAAAAAAAAAAAAAAAAAAACCAACCAAAAAAAAAAACCCACCCCTCTGCAAATGCTTTCAAGGTGTGATAGATGGTGGTGTAGAGTCAGGCTGAGGAAAAACCTATTTCAAGGCAGAATATTAACTATATTAACTACTAAAATATAATTGCTTTGGAAATATAGGAGTTTACACCAGGGTGCTTGAATATCATTGCCTTTTGCTTCTTTGGTTTAGTGCCACTCATGAGATCTTAGTATTTAGATCATACAGCTATAGTTGGGTTTAATTCACCCCCTTCCACGAATGACACTGCCCTGTTGGTAACACTGTCCTCTCTAACAGTGGAGAAGATGATAATCCCGAGGATGCAGCATTGCCAAAGCCAACTGCTCAGAAATCATGAGCTTGGTTTTAAAAACATGCCAGTTTGTTCACTACTTAGTG